CAAATATACCTTTAGTTGACTTTTGACAACTAAATATTTTCGTTTACTAGCCAAATAGAAAAGTTACTAGCCAAATCCATGTAATGTTATTTCACTCTAATGTTATGAATAAAACAATTCCAGGTGAAGTTTTGTTTTATTTTTCTAATTCTCTAAGACAGTACAGACGAAATTTTAAAAATTTCAAGAACAAATACATTCAGTGCTACTGTTACCTGGCAAATATCATTTAGAATAATTCAGTCAACTGACATACATGTTTGAAGATCTCGTCAGTTTCAATATTAGTTACTAAACTTGAAACAACCTCATAAAGACATTACATTCACTTCAATTGTTACCTGGCAAACTTTGAAAGGTGTCATTTAGAAATATTCAGTAAACTTAATGACAAAATTTAAATGCAAATTTGAAGTCTTCAAGATCTCATCAGTTTCAATATTACTAAACAACCTCAAACAAAAAGATCATAAATACATTATATTAAGTCTAGAAACTGTAGAACTGTTTACAGTTACCTGGCAAATATTACTCAGGATAATTCAGTCAACTGACAAAGGCAAGTTTGAAGATTGCATCAGTTTCAATATTATTAAACTTGAAACAGCAACAACCTCATAAAAACATTACATTCACTTCAACTGTTACCTGGCAAAGGTGTCATTTAGAAATATTCAGTCATGATTTGCAGTTATTGTAACACTCTTAACAACAGGTTTTTACCTTATTTTCAATTTCCCTATCAGGTTGGTAAATGTCACTCAGAAATATTAACTATAGTAATGCTGATCTAAGATCTTAAAGTGGGACTGGAAAGAGAAATGTCCAGATGGTCTGGCAAACACATACTGTGTCTTTGTGTTACTGACATTGAACTTATTTCTGTCTGTTTCAAACTGAAATTTTATCCTTTAAAATTCATAGCTCCATTTACCCAATACTGAATTGCGTTTACCTTTTTATTCCAATTTCCAGTACCACTTTAATACTTGCTCAATTTGAATTGTCAAATCAATAGCTTGTGACTAAATCTTTTTGTTTTCAAACAGTACTGCTTTGTCCTTACACTTTTGATCAACAGACACAGTGTTAGCTGACCAGTCACAATGTCCTGGACCCCCAGCAATCCTTCTCCTGCTGTTTGCCACCCACTTGTCAATGGATTTCTCTGGGTTGAATTCAGCCAGATCTGGCCATTCAGAAGAAAGCAAGATTAAGTCTGACAGTCTCTGTACAGTCAAGTCCTTTTTGTTTGATTTGATTTCTGTATCAAGAAATTTCCTGGCAATGTGTGACTTTTCAATTGAGTATTTGCTTGTTTTATTAATGATAAAGTCGCAGCACTTGCCATCTCTAAGACTTTTACTATGGGCAAGGATGTTTTCATGTTTAAATTTAGTACTACCATCTACAAAATCAGTTTTTCCAGCCAAAGTTGAACCAGCTCTACAACAAAAATCGCAATACATTGTGTTTTTTTCTCTATTGTAACGAAGCCAGGTGAAAGTTGACAACCATACTTTGTTTATCATTCGGGGCATTCTTTTAGGTCTCAGTTTCATTCACCATTTCTCCTTTGTTCGATTTTGCAAAGAAAGCCAATATCAGCTTTAGTGTTGTTTTCTTTGTTGCCATGTTTCTTTAAATCTTTGCGCATGCTCAGAAAGACAAATGAAACATGAAACTGCGAATAAAATGTGTGCTGCCATCATCAAAATGCCAATCAATATCTTGTATATCGTTCTATTAAGCCTTTTATTGTTTAAATAATTTGACTTTGCTCGTTTTATTAAAAAAAAAGATTGAACAGACATTTTTCACTCAGTAATGAGCTTTGGAAGATTGTCAGTGAAAAAAACACAGTCGCCAAAAGATAAGTGTTTTATTATTTCTAGTCGCCACTTGGAAAAATCACTTACAAGTGCAACTGTTTCACTCACAACGTAGAGCCCTGAATTGGCAGCTAGATGATATTGTTTTACCTTTGGAATTGCTAAATGTATAAATGTAACCAATTAAGCTCTATGCTATTAGTTTCTTCTCCTACATGGAACTGTTAGTCGACTTTTTGATTTCTTGTCAACTATAATCTTCAGAAATGTAAATGAACCTTCAGTCATTATTATCTGCTTTCTTAAATCCTGTTCTTGTTATTGTCTTTGCCCGTCAGTAAACTTTTTTCAGTTTCCTTCACTATTGTCTTTTCATTCTCAGTAATAGCTACTATTTTAGTCACTTTATCACTTTGCTTATGGTTAAAAAAATTTTGAAAAAAGGCATGAAAGGTTTCCAAAGGCAAAACTCAGCAAACTTTTTCATTTTCTGCTTAACATGATTATTTTGCTTAATAGTTAACCCAGCCTTTTCAGTATATATAAGATGCTATAATGTAAGACTTGTGTATGTGTGTGTGTGTGTGTGTGTGTATATATATATATATATATATATATATATATATATATATATATATATATCTTTCTTTGCAAATAAGAAATAAATACAGAACAAAAATAAAACTACTTTATAACAGAAGTTGAAATATAATCTCTTATAGGATGTAAAAATTCTGTAATGTAAGATTTTTTGACATATATGGTTTTACAAATACAAAGTAACTACAAAAAATAAAATGACTTTAAAAAAGAAGTTGAGATGAATTTCTTTAAAGGAAATAGTAAATATACAGTAGAAGAAATAAAAATAAAAATTCTATAATGTAAGACTTTTTTATATAAAGTGTAAATTCAACTGTAGTCAGTCTGTATAGTTTTACTGACTCCAGTGACCCTTTAATTGCTTCTGCCTCTGACTTCACAGTCTTGGCTCTAAGCACCAAGAATTATGCTGTCGAGAGAAAACCTTCTACTTAGAGTAGGTGGCACTATTTGCATATGAATGATACTGGACAGTGTGGGCCTGGGATTGGGAGATATAATACCAGTTTTTATTCCCTTGAGAGGAGTGCTTTCAACATCCAGATGTGCAGAAAACCAGACAAGATGAACACATAATCATAAGCTTAGCTCTCTCTGCATTAACTAGTTTTTTCTTGGGTGCTATGTTTTTTTCACTATTAGTTATCAAACATCATATCCTGTTTTGCACAATTGCTGATCATTTTATAATGGCCTCACAACCAGCAGTGTCCAACAAAAGATCAGTTATTTGGTTTCCTCCTCCAACTGATTTTAAATCCTTTAGCTTTTTTGTTCTAGCGTTAGCTGCTAATATCCTAAGCCATGCTTGCGCATATTCATAATTATCAGGTGAAAATTGTTCATTTGATTCTTTAGATATCTGTGACACCATTGTAGTGTAATGTTACTGACTCATGGGAAGTGGTATTCATTCAACTGCGCCATGGGTAATAGTCGTAGCTACTTAGTCTTTGTGACGTCATAGGTAAATGAGTCACCTTAGTTGGTTTTCTGAACTATATTGGCATAGGTATGGCTTTTCATATAGGAATCCGCTATTTTTCTTGATTCTGGGCTACATTTCTTCTATGCTTGAACTCCATGATTTCTTTCTCTTTTATTTTTTGGCAAAGGCTAGAGTATTCTGAAGTGATAATTAGCACATTTAATATCACTTTTTCTCTATATGATCTAAGTCTTTCTGGCCTACATTTTGCACATAATAGGTGTCCTCTGCAGCTCTCCTTGTGATGACCATATTTCTGAACACCTTAAAGAATTGGAGATGTATTGTTCAACTCTCTCAATTTTAAAACCAATTTTTATTTCCTTTGGGATTGAGGGTTTATTCAATGTTAAGATATATTTATGTTAAAATTTCTTGATCTCCCCTTTTTATGCTTATCCTTCTACAGTTAGTAACCCTTTGCTTTCCCAAGGCTGCATCTCTTTCCTCTGGCGTAACTAGGAACAGCTCTTTATTTCTGACAACTCCCTTTGCAGTCTTAAGCCTTTAATGTTGATACACTTTAAATTATTGAAACACTTCATTTTGCACATGTTGATGGCAACAAGTAGGTTTACCACTTTTCATTTTCCTCACTGTTCGTGGTTTTGTCCTGCTAGTAATGACTTTTTTAATAAAAAATAGTGAGAGATTGGCCAGAGGAGTTTCCTACAGAGATTTAATCACTATGAATTTCAAGAAATCTGCTCAAGGAGGTTAAATCCATTCAACTTAGTTAAGATGGGGATACATCTACCAGTATACTCTCATCAAGAGAGGACTTTGAGCTCCTGTTAATTTTGAGCTTCGGCACCCCTAAAAATCTGATGCCATGATTTGAAACTGTGGTCAAAGTTTCTTTCTTTTCAACTTGATTGACCCTCAGCCACTGCTTTGTAGCACTTTTTAAAATAATAAAGTGTAGGGTGTTTGATTGTTATGTGATCAATTTGTGAGACAATGTCAGGTTTAATTATATTGTTGACATGACCAGCTGATTGATTGAATCAGGCCTCTCCAATCACCTGTAAGGACCAAAAAAGTGTTGCTTTTTACATGACCACTTATATATCCAGGTCATGGACTGCTCAACCACTAGATTTCTATCCTCAGGCATTATGGGTTGCCATCCATGGCAAACAAATGGCCTTGTGGAAGGGGTTTTACCTCTATGCAGAGGTGTAGTCAGCATATTCTATAGCCCCAACCAACAGGACAGGGCAGATTGGATTACCTAATATTAATGAATAATTGTTACTTTGGAAGATAACCAAAAGTATTAAGAGTTGAGCAAGATAAAATACTTTGGTAAGGTGGGTGGAATTTTGAAGTTACACAAAATGGAACAAATAGGTTGTTCAATCAAGTCAAAAAAATATAGATGGAAAACTGAATTAATTGGGTCATGATTTATTTAGATTTAACTATACATGATTTGTGAAAAGCAAATATGTCTCTAAATATTTTTTTCTGAACACAATTTACTATATACTTGTTTTTTGTACATTGGGAGATAATTTAAGGAAATGCACACTTTTCACAACTTCAATGACCACCCCCACTCCTATTTTCTTTAGGGTGCCTGTGGTTCTTGTTGGGCTTTCTCTGCTACTGGTGCTCTTGAAGGACAGCACTTCAGACAGACAGGAAATCTGGTGTCTCTATCTGAACAAAACTTGGTTGATTGCTCTTATCCTGAAGGTAACCTTGTTTATTCAATTGTTTTGTCAGCCCTTATTAAGTCAACTGAAAGGTTTGTAAATTCTTCTGTCAAATTACTTTTTCCAAATAAAAAAAATCATATGAAAATTTTCTTGCAAAGAATTGAATGCTTGCTTGAGGTCTAGCTAACTCCTTTCAGATAAAATACTTTCTGTATAATCAGTATGGAATCTTTAAAACAAGTTTAAATTTTTGTTTATTTACACTATTCCATTATTTGACAAAATCTTTAGTCACTGTTATGCCACAACGGTTTGCTGAAAGAACATAATCATCAATCCATATCCTTATATCTGCTTAATCAATAGTAATGAGAAACATTAACAGGAGCTTATGGATAACATGTATAAAAGTCTTTGTGATATTTGAATCTGAAGTTAAATTGGAATTGTGAAAGCATGAGTTTTAAAATTTTTTGTGTATAATAGAAACATGTAGTATCATGTTTTTATTTTTATTTTTTATTTATATTTTTTTAATAATTACTATTATATTTAAAACATTTAACACCCCTGAATTCTTCAGTAACGTTTAATTAAGGCTATGCATAAATGATGTGTCTTTAACATTAGTCCATTAATAACCATTATCCCAAAATGGGTCAGTAGGCATTAATGTTTTATATGCAGAAACTGATAATTAATACTAGATTTTACAGTGGGCATTAATGAGTTGAAATTGTAGTTTTTAGATTAGTATTTTATATGCATTGTATATGTTGCTTTGCTCTGATGACAGAAAGTTGGAAAGTACACTTTTCTGGACACTAGATTTAACCAAATTAGATATTAATTTAACAACATCCTTAACACTCACTGCTGCATTGTTATTACCAGTTTTTGCCTGACTGTGTTGGCTATTTTGGGGAAATAAATGACTATAATAAGTGACTGGTTATTTCACATGGTTATTGGATATTGTGCAGTACAGAATAAGTGCAGTGCCTATTTATTCCTAACTTGCTTAAGGTAAATGACTCCACCCAAACACAATATAATAAAAATATCACAAAACAGTGTATTTTCTAAGCTGGTTTGGAAAGAGATACTGACATTTCAGTGTCTTGAAAATGTACATGTTGACAGCAGACAATGTAAGCTTCATAAAAATGTATAAGTACTTTTACAGCAGCGGAAGTGTTGAAGGATTAAACATCAGAAAAAAAAATTGTAAAATTGTCAAAACATTACAATTATTTTACTCAATGCTATAAATTAGATAAAGACTTAGCACATGCAAATACCATGTTGTTTTTAAGGACTTGTTACTCATAATATTGAATTAACTTATTTCTTTCATCAGGTAACAATGGTTGTAATGGTGGTTTGATGGATCAAGCTTTTCAGTACATCAAGGAAAATGGTGGTATTGACACAGAGGAGTCATATCCTTATGAAGCAAAGGTAAGAATGGTTTGGTAATTTGGTTGGTAATACTACCTAACTCCGTTTAAAATCAAATGTGTAGGGAAACTTTGTAAATAACCAGTTCAGTTAAACAAGAAATTTGGAAGTTCTAAAGAAAACATACTTTGTGGCTATTGAAGAGATGTTCTTGAGAGACAATATTTCAGAATGTTTGGCTAGAAATTTGTTTAACAAAAAAAAATGTTGCAGTTTAGTGGGGTTTTATTTCAACTATTTTGTAATAAATGTTAACTCTAAAATATTGTTAGGTGAAAAAAACCATGAAAAATCATTTAACAAAACTAACGTGCCTATTTATTCCTAACGTGCCTATTTATGTTAATTTCATTTCATTTTCTGTAAAGTCTGCAGTAATAATGCCTACAATCCCGTCACTTTTAGGAATCTGAATGCCATTACAACAAGACTTACAAGGGAGCTACTGATATTGGCTATGTGGATGTTGAGTCTGGTGATGAAGATGCTCTGAAAGAAGCAGTTGCTACTGTAGGACCTATATCAGCAGCCATTGATGCTGCTACATATGAATTCCGTTTCTATCACTCTGGTGTTTTCTCTGACAAGGACTGTAGCTCAGAACGTCTTGATCATGGGGTCTTGGTTGTAGGATATGGCATCAGTGAAAATGGAATGGATTTCTGGGAAGTCAAAAACAGGTAATTGTATATATTGAGTATTAAATAACATCAATGTGATATTTTTTGTCAGTCATTGCAAGGCATTGTTTTCATTACCTTTATCATTATTGACAAATTTGGAATCACTATCTAAATTACTGCCAGAGTATGAAAACACAAAATTGTAAAAATAGTGAAGCTTTGAGAAGTGTATGAACAATATTTATTAAGTGTTACTATCTTTAAATGTCTGTATGTTGTTTACTTGGTGTCCATCTAAACATTTAATAACAACCCAGTGAAAAATTGCACTATTTCCAGTAGTAATTTTGATATAACAGGGTAAGGTGGTACTCCATCTGTTGAGGCATTTATTTCTACAAAGAGGCTTGATAAATGATCTTATTTTGAGATGTGAGGCTAGTAAACATTGTTAAATTTCAATGGTGAGTAGAATTGCCAAAGACTAAAATATGTTAATTAGTAAAATTGACCAGAAATTGGTGGGTTCTGAATCAAGAGATAACTTAGTTTTAAAGTGTTCACAACTAAAATGCCTAACCATAACTGTTTCACTTTTACTTTTGCCTAAGTGGGTTGATCTGATAACTAGAAAACCTGGATAACTTGTCAATAGTAATTATCTGTGAGCCAGAGTTATGTTTACTTAAATACTATTCACCAAAAAATCTGTATTTCTTTTTGCAAATCTTCAACAAGAATTTTTTTATGATTGAAAGTCGAGGTTATCAATGGAAATTGCTCCGAGGAGCTGCATTCGCTGGTTCCCAGACGTCATGAGTTCCAGCGCCTTACGAGGCTGGCATCCCGCTCTCACCCCTTCACTGTTGAAACTCCTAAATGTAGCCGTCTCTTCTACTCTAATAGCTTCATGTCTCGCACCTCTCGCCTGTGGAACTCCATTCCCTATTCCTGTTTCCCTGTGAGCTATAATCTCCAGCTATTCAAGTGTAATGTCAATCGACATCTCCAGTTGCCTTGATCTATCCACTAGCCTCATCCTTTCTTCTATCACTCCTATCTGATCTTGCTCTAAATTTTCTGTAACCCCTTGCGTCCTAGTGGCTTCCTGCCTTGCTTGGGGTGAAATGCTTTCAGAGCCAGCAACTTTTAAGTCCTTGTCTTCTCTCTACCATGTCCTTTCAGGATGTGGGCAAGCATGGATCTTACCAATGTTTGTTTTTCTACTGTCCCTGCCATTCATTTACACAAGCTTGTTTAGATAGGTTGTTCACTGTTTACTTCTGTCCTTGTGACCATAAATATATCCTGTGAGTTTAAAATTCTATAAGCCCTCTTTCTTCATTATGTAACACAGAAATTGTAACTTCTCTTTCTAAGTATCCTTTGTGTTTTCATTTTTCCTGAAAGATTACTTGTTGCTCACATGCTCTATCCATAGTATTCACAGAATTCTCTGTTGCTTCAAGTCTCTTTCAACTGAGAAAATTATCCAGCATTCATTGTCCTACAGGAAGGAATAATGGTATTACATAATTCAATACTCTTTGTTTCTAACAAAGTTTTCCTGTTTCTTAAAATGTAGTCTAACTTTTAGAAGTTATCTTTTGCTATTTAGACTATGAAAAATAGGTATACATGCTTAATACATCATCTTTTTGATAAGCATGTGATAACTATAAAATTTAAGTATGCAAATGAAAAGAAATTAGTTTGGTTAGTTTTGGGTTTAGTGCTTGTTAAGGGCAGCTCATAGATGAGCCATATTCATTTATACTCACCACCTTTAGTCATGCATTCAGTTTCTGACTCAATTTCAATTTTTTAATGAACATGCATACACTATGCCTGTTAAGAAAATATTTGCAACACAATTTCCACTCTTTCCCTCTCTCTCTCTCTCTCCTGAATTTCAGGAAATAAAACATAATTCATAGGACTAATACAAAATTGGTTACCTTGAGTTTCTGGGAGGCTTATCATATAGTCATCTGTCTAGGATAATAAAATTTCAATATAAAATCAACTACTTTGGACTCATGAGAATGCCTACAATCTGAATACCTCATTGTCCAACACCTAGGTTACCAAATGACACATCCCTTGGCGACACACCAGACTGAGGTTGAAAAATTTGCTACTGGGAAAGAAAGGTTTAGTCAGTCATTTAACCTATCAATAACAACTAAAAAATTAACTTCAAATCAAAACTTTAAAAAATTCTTCAAATGGAAAAATAGAACAAATCAATGTCCAATCATGGTGCATTTTGTTTTAGAATAATGCAAACTATGATGTTGCCTGTAAGCAAGAGTAATGTCAATTTGATAATCACTCCATTGCATATTTAAAATACAATTTATATTGTACTGGCGAAAAGGAGAAAGACAAAATGGAATAGCAATATGCAAATCATTAGATATTGGAATAGACCTGTCAGAAAGACTTACTGTCTAAGCTGCCAACATTGTTATTCATGGCTGCAAGGTTTGAGTGATATCAGCTTATGCCCCAACTAAAAAAGCAGGATTAACTAAATGTTGTACACTAGAACCATCTTCCAAACTTCTGCTGAATGCCTATATCAGTTCACTAAATCATACATGTGAGGATCCCAATATGGAAACATTTCAAACCACAAGGAGGAAATGTGAGTCTCAGTCTATTTAATCTTTACCTAGACTATGCCCTTTCAATATCTGAGCACAGATATGAAGAGATGGTCATTGATTATTTAAGCATTCCATACCACATTCTAAATGAATGTACTAATAGGAAACAGCAATCCTGCTCCCTTTCATGAAGCCAATGTGCTGATGATGATGAGGGAGAGGCTATGCTAATAGCATAGATATTCATAGTTGGGATGAAACTGATCTTGAACAAATCAACATCCTCTAACAATAAGAAGTTTTTACCCAACACTGCAAGTCTCTTCCTAAACCCTGAAATTTTATTCACTTTTTATTTTTTTTCCTCAAAAGAGCCGATCGGTTTGCCTATAGTTCAATTCACACTCATCTGAACAAGAGTAGAGATTTATCCCTTGTTCCATGTTTAGGATTGGGTTTCTAGTTCTTTCTAAAATCTTCTCATTCTCTTTCCCTCCCAGTAACCTCTTGCGTCTTGGCTTGGGAGAAATTGATTGAAAAAAGAAAAAAATAGCCTATTCTTATGTGGATGTCATGCATAGTGCCAGACTTGTTCAGAAATATCAAAGCTGTCAGCCAGTTTTTCAGATCAATTGTTAAAAATGGCTTACAGTGAATGAGCAAGGACCATCCTTCTTTGAACTCTGTGAACCAACACTACAGAGTCACATACAATGAACTGTAGAGAAACAACATCATTTGAGGACTTTCAACAACAGCAGCAACAATTAAAATGAATAGTGAATGAAACTCAGAGAAAATAATGACATAATCAATGTTAACTTTCCGCACAACTTCAAACAAAAGGCTAGGAAGGAAGCCTCCCATCAATACTGGTGTTATGTTTTGCATATCCCTCTGTGTAGTAGTAGTCGTAGTACAGTTCTCTGTGTCCTGAATAACAACTGGGTTTGCTAGGTATAGCTATTGCCCATGTTTGCCAGTTGATCTCTATACTTGTCTATCTAATTTGCACACAATACTTACAATTGGAAAGAGCAATAACAATTACACTTGAGAAATCTATTTTAATGTTGACATTACCATTACTCTTTCAGTTAACTTAAACCCTTGTGTAGATATTGTAAATAAAATTTTTGTTGGAAATTTAATTGAATAGAGCTATTTTGAAGGAAATCCTAATAAACTTTTTTTTTTTTAATATTAATATGATTAGAGAATTGGAATCTATTGACTTGTCCCTACAATTATGGAGAAGATACTGTGGATGATCAGCAGTGTCAAAAATATATTTACAAAGGTTTCTCACTAAAGAATATTATAGAGTTGGGTAGAAATGCTGATATTGACAGTAATCTAATAAAGATCTTAAGAATATTATTACAAAAACGTTTTATAATGTGGGAAATAACCAAAATATGCAAATCATGTTTTCAAATGCGTTTGTATCAGCTTGGTTTGATGAGTGACTTTCATATCAGTGAAATAAAAATAAACAAACAAATTCTTATTTGGGGTGTAATGCAAATTTTCTGAAACATTGTAACAGGTGATTAAAAAAGATACTTTAAAACAATATAGAATGTAAGAGATTATTGCAAATGGCAGTACAAGTAAAAAGTACCACCAATAACTGTAGGAAAAGTTTGCTTTCATCAAGAGGTGACAATCTATATGATGATGCTGGAAGGAAATTTTTGACTTTGAGTTCCTGAAGAACAAAACAAATATTGCTCCCAATTAGACCAGTTGTAACAGTTGATGAAAAGTGTTTAGAATTAGTTAAGAGAAAGGTCATTAAATTCCATAAAGATAATGCAAGATTTTCTTTTTGGTTGGGTGGTGCAGATTTCAGTGGTGGGTGAACATAAGGCAAAAAGATTTTGGTCTAGGGTTGTTTTTACTCATCTGCTGTGTTGGATATTGGACCTTCAGAATATCATTTCCCTGTAGTGTCAAGAGCAGTTAATTGTTGAGAAAGAAAAAAAAAAAAACTAAGATGATGGAATTATGAAGTTGCCTGAAAGATGGCAGAAATAGTGAAACAGAAAGTGTATAAAGTAATTATTTTACATTTCTCATTTAGTAAGGTAACTTTGTGTTGCTTATGTTTTAATGATCTTGTAGTCAGTTTTAAACTCTTTTTCATTCCTTCTAGCAAGAACTTGTGATCCAAATGAACTGAACATTAGTTCACTGGTATTTAGTTGTGACTGGGTGTTTAAAAAATTTAGTCTGTCACATCAAAGTATGACAATAATGGAATTTTTATTCTATTGCAATAAATTAAAGTTTGCTGAAATTTGTGACTACCCTACATAGTGAAAAATAAATAATTAATTTCAATATTTGATAAGATGTCTTTTTTTTTTTTTTCTCTCTCTCTCTTTCAGTTGGGGAAAATCATGGGGTAATGAAGGTTATATAAGGATGTCCCGTAACAATGACAACAACTGTGGTATTGCAACACAAACCAGCTACCCTATTGTCAAATTGAAGCTTAATTAAAAAAAAATTAAGTCTTCAGGTACTTCTATTTTATACTTTGACTTTTCAGTTTTCACTGCAATCTTTTAATTTAGCATTTATGGATATTATCCATTTCTGATAACTTTTTATTAAATTTTGTAAGAGCTACTATAAACTTATGTATCCAGTAATTCATTTTTTGCATTTGTTTTCTTATGACTACTATGAATGATGGACTAATATATATATATATATACATATTGCATTTTGGATTTCATTGACTCTTTACAAAATAGAACTTACATTAGGTTTAATTGTTTAAATAAAGATAAACGGATGAGATTTTGTAATGGGCAAACTCTTTACTCATTGTTTTCAGGAAACTTTTGTGTATTCTGTTTTTCTTCCCTACACTACAAACAACCTTAATAAAATTTAATTGCTTCAATTAGTACTTTTTTCCTTGAGGTACAAGATAGAATTATATGAAGTATTTCCTAATTTGATCAGGAAAAAACAGTTTTGTTTTTTTGTGAAGGTGACCAAAAAGTTGAGATTCCAATCAATATAATTTCTAGTTGAAATACACCAGGGTATTTTGCTTACTGGAAATAGTAAATTTAATCATTTGGCTTTCAATTAAAGCTTTTTAGCTTTAATTGAAAGCTTCAAGAATACTTTTTCATTTTTAATAGTACAATAAATTTTGAATGTCTTTAGCTTTATATTAAAGATTTCAGAAAATTGCATGAGTTACAAAATTATGCAATTTACATAAGTAGTATCTACTTGTATAAATTACATGTATATTCCATTAATTCAGTATAAAATGAAGTTTTAAAAATGAAATAGCTTTCTCGAAGTTTTAATTTTAGCTTTAATTGAAAGCTAAAGGATTTAAAATTTACTATTTGCAGTAAGCAAAATACTCTTGTATTTCAAACGGAAATTATATTGATTGGAATCGTTATTTTTTTATTTATTTTTTTTTTTTTTTAAATTTTATTTTTTTTCAGTAAAATCAGCCATTTTTACTCATTAAAAAATTTTTGCAAAAATAAAATATATATTTCTGAAACATTATTTGAGGAAAATTAGCAAATTAAAGTTAATTAGGTTTAATCTGATTTGGAACAAATATTACATAGCATAAAATGTTGTATACAAGCATTTCTTAACCACAGGGTCTTGTTTTTCTGACATGTTGATTGATTTATTGATAGCCTAACATGTTGAAAAGTATAGTCAGGTATAATTGCTAGCAGACAATAAATTTTGTATGAGGGTTTTTTCCATAACATAGGGACAACCCTTAAAACACATGACCTTTTAATTAGGTACCTCCACTAATTTTCGATACCTAACGTTTAAAATGAATTTTTAAAAATGAAAAAAACATTCTTGAAGCTTTCTTTTTAGCTTTAATTGAAAGCTAAAGGATTAAATTTACTATTTCCAGTAAGCAAAATACTCTGGTGTATTTCATGTAGAAATTAAATTTGGTTGCTTTCACAAAATCGTTTAAAATTGGCCATTTTTGTAACATTTGTAAACGAAATTTGTAAAATTATCGGTTTTAAAAATCTTCCAAAAATAAAATATACTTTTCTGGAACTTTATTTGAGGAATATTAGCTGATTTAAATTAATTGGATTTGAAAAAAATATGTTACTTACTTTAATTTTAAAATAACAGAGAAATGGATTTTTAAAACAAACAGTAGCAGTGATTATGCACTTGTCCCCATCACTTGTAGATCACTTACTAGGCATTGCTAAGGTGTTGACAGATTTATTGTTGTTGTATGGAGGCTTTATCTGTTAAAACATAATTTAAGAAAATGACTGGTGAGTACCCTTCCTATATAATTTTTTATTTTCAGTAATCTTAAAAATGTTGGAAAATATTCTCTGTAACCTAATTTTAGTAATGTTGAATTTAAATTTAATATAGTCATCACTCTTATGTCTTGCATCATGTATGGTTGACCGTACATTTTATATACATAAAAAAAATTTATTCTAAAAATCTTGATGCAAAATGACTTATTTTTTCAATTTTTAATTCGTAAATATAATTTTCTCTTATCACCTAACTGGCTTAAGGTAATGCAGAATTTTAAACGATTTATATTTTATAAATTATCATAATTAAAATTTAAAAAAAAAGAAGAAAACTGTTTTTGTAAAAATTCAATATTCATCGAAAAAAGCTTCTCTAATTATATAATGTAATAGTTTTATTGCATTTTTTATTTTAGGATTTGGAGCAGATTTTTGCAAAATGAGTAGTAGTTTGGAACAAAAATGATTTACATTCTCCAAAGAGTCCTGCTTTTAACTAATCAAAACAATTTTCTGGGAAAAATGAATTTCATGAAATTTAGTTAGTAAGGGTTGCATAAATAAAAATATTTTTTTTTTTTTTTTTTTTTTTTTTTTTTTTTTTTTTTTTTAAGCATTAAAAAATAATTTCATTTATTTGTGAATAAGTGTTGAAAGTTTCATGAAAATGTAATGATTATATGATTTTTGAAAGAATTTCCAAATCTGTATGTTTTTCACCTGAGAAAAAAAAGGCACTAAAACACTAATCATTGTTTTCCAGAATGTTCATGCTGATTTTTAAGGGAAAGTAAAACATGAAACAAAAGTATGCCATTAAATATTTATTCAACTAAATATGATCCATTTTGTTGCACAGCCTTTTTTCATTTTCCCTTCAACTTAAAAATTCCATCTTCCTGGGATTTCAGTGGTTTCTCGGCAAAGAACTTCATTAAGGTGTTTTTTTTATGTCATCCAAAGAATTAAAATTTTTACCATTGAGATTATTTTGTAAGGATCTGAATTAATGAAAATCTGAAGGTGCAGTGTCTGGTGAATATGGTGGGTTGGGTAACAAATCACAGCCAAGCTGCAACAATTTTTGCCAGGTTGCCAAAGAAATGTGAGGTCTGGCATTATCCTGATGGAAAGCAACATCTTTCCTGTTTTCCACTTCTGGATGTTTTTCTTGAATTGCTGCCTTTAATACGTCAAATTGCAGGCAGTACTTTTCAGAATCAATTGATTGGTTACTTGACAGAAGCTCATAGTACAGGATTCCTTTCCAATCCCACCAGATGCACAGCATGACTTTCTTAGGATGAAAAGACCTGATTTTGAGGTGACTAAAGTTGCCTCATGTCGCTTACCCCCAGGATCTTTTTCGCTGAACATTGTTGTAAATGATCCATTTCTTATCACCCATCATGATTTGCTTCATAAAGGGTGCATTTTCATTGCATTTATACAGCAAATCACAAATGAAATTTGATCCAAAAGATTCTTTTCACTCAGATTATGTGGTACCCAAACATTGTAGTAATTTGAGTACCCTAGCATTGTTTCACTAAGTGCTTATGGACAGTAGATTTTGGTAAATCTAGTTCTTCTGCCAATTCCCATGTGGAATAAATTTGTTCATCATCTGTAGTGTGGAATCTGCCTGCCTGAGTGTTTTTCATCAATAAGGTTACAATCACCAACTCTTAGCAAATTGCTTCCATACAGTCCTGTCAGCTAAAGTCCTGTCACCATACACAGCACATTTCTTTTTTGTTGCTTGTGAGGCATTTTTGCCTTTATGATAAAAAAAAAGCATCAGGTGTCTAAAATGCACCTTATAATCTTCCATTTTTATAGGGATGCAAATTAAGTAATTTTAAACTTTATAGATAGTTTGAAGTTGTTCTAATCAGAAATTATATCTGTTGATAAATTTGACGTGTTCTAATAATGTTGGAACGTGAATGATTAAAAATCTGGACAACCAATATTACTTTGACCACTGATGATTTTTAACCAAAATTTCAAATGTACTAGAAATGATTAAAAAATTTAATAAAATAATAAAAACTACTTTGGTCTTTCCTCATAATAACATAATAATATTTTGACGATAAAACTTTTTTTTTTTTCATTTGTTTTCATAAGTTTGCTGTTTTTTTATTTTTATTTTCCAATGAAAAAGTGGAGGTACCTACTTATGATAATGTCATGGACAAACTTGCATACTTAGAAAAATTAAGACAAAAAACACAAAAAATTTTTTTTTTTTTTTAAATGTTTGGGGACATCAGATTGTAATAAGCTTTACAATATATAGTAAATATAGTTTTACTTAATAACAATATTTTCTACCATTGAAAGTAAAATTAAAAGATTTAAAATCTTAATTATTTAATTTCAAATTGTAAAAAAAATGAAAAATCTTACAAGATTCATTTTCATCAAAAATGTTTTTCTTCAGACAGTATTGTCTTTAATATATATTATTCATAAAAGCAATTAAAAACTTGTCTAATTAAATAATGTCTTAGTTTTACTGTGTTTTTCATTTTTCAATTCAGAAAAGATTTTCGGTAAGATATATTTGGTGTGTGTGACTGAATAAATTAAAACATTATGTATGCTTATTTTTATCAAAATCCTTTCATATTCGCAAATATTTTTCTCACTGTTACAGTGTATTTATTGCCTCATTCAGTTGTAATATACGGAAAATATTTTATGAATATGAAAGTATTATAAAAATAAGAAAAAAACAATGTAATTTATTCAATCAGACATGCCTAAAAGAAATTTGCTACCTAAATATATATATATATATATATATATATATATATATATATATATATATATATATATATATATATACCTTAAACACTCCCTTGTATATTTTGGGTTTTCTTTATCTGAAGAACTGTTTATATTCAGCTTGTACCAAGATTTGGTAGTAAAAATTTTAATTAAATATTAAAAATATTTTAATTCTTCCTCTTAATGATAACAAAGATTTTGATGATAAAACTGTTTTCCTTATGTTTGAAGCATGTTTTCATCATGTTATGCTGATTTTTAACAATGTTATCGAGGTACTTGTACATAAGTTAGTAGTACTCAAGAAACATTGTTGTACTAACATTGGAAACTAGCATTTTAGATTTCTATAATTTTTTGAGCTTTTGCTAAATCTTACCTTCTACTAAATCAGAA